GAGAGGGTTGGGATGATTCTGAGGTTTATTATAGAAGAATAGGTATCTGGATTGTGCCAGATCTGAAATAAAAAAAAAACATTTTACGAAGGATTTTGAATTGTAAGAATTGGATACGAAAGGAATTCGATGGTTTAGTGGAGCCCCATAGCTCAACTCCGTAATTCCAAATAGGCCTTATTATAGTCATGTATAATTTTCAAAAGTAATTAGAAAATTAGAAAATAAAATTGAAAAATATATTCATATAAGAAAATAAGAAGGTTGTATGGAATAACTTTTTGTAATTAATTGGAAGTTTAGATCGATTGTCTAGTAAGTGCTGAAGTAATCGGAATCGTCGAGCGGTTTCTTGTCGTTTCAGTCTGGTATGATAATAAATTTAAAATATACACAAGCAAAGAACTTTCAGATATATGAATGACCTCCTAGTGCTTTGGTGTTAGAAATAATGCTAAATGTTATTATTTCACCTCCAGGCTGCAAAAAGTTTTAATAATGGCCTCAGAATATTTTATAAAATTATAAAGCGATTCAGTAAGAATCAAAACCATAGAGTAATTTTGTTATTATTGCTAAATTTTTAATCTGTTTTGTCCGTATTAATAAAGAAGGAGAGGATAAAGAAGGACTATAACATTACTCCTTAGTTGGTTAATTAGAACAATGAATGCAGAGGAAGGAGAGTCAGTAGAGTGGAATAATTAACAGTACTGACGGCACCCATCCACTTAAGAGAATAGAGAACCTAGCTAGGTTACTGCGTCATATAGGACAGGGATAGTCTATGGTGTATCTAATATATAGCCGCGCTGACTGTTCGTTCGGTATTCCCCGGCTGCTGATTAACTAGTTGTCCAATGATAGACAAATGCGTAGACGAATTAGCCATATGACAAGAACAACGTTTAACTGTCTGCATCAGGTCTTAATGATCAAACTCTGGTAGGTGATTTTGACAAAATTTCCTACAAAAAATTTCATTTGATATGGGGGCATATTTCGAACGAAAAAGTAGTCAAATTTTGTCTTTTCTTGAAGTGGTCACATTTTCTCTTTCATAGGAAGCAATAACACAAAAATGACTTAGTTCAGGTAATTAAAAATCGCTTTATAATAAACTATACAGGGCGTTTCAGGGTTAAGTCGCCAAACTGCAAAAATAAACTAAGGACCTCAAAACAAGAAAAACATTTCCTCTGAATGTCCGCAAACGCTTTGTTTAGGAAATATTCACACCTAAAGATTTTCGTTGTTATGAATTATTTACGCTATATGAAATAAATAAAACATATTTATTTCTTCTTACTGCTTTATTATTAATTAAATGTAAATATTAACAGCCATATTGAGCATTAAGACATCATTCTTCAACAGCAGCTGTGGCAGAGCAGCACTGGATATGTGTTATTGTTCCTTCTTCGTAAGGAATTAAGCTCATTGCTTTTTTCTGTTTGATCGTTGGCTGCAAGAAATAACTCCATATATCTTAGAAACAGGGTTTCCACTTTGATGAAAAAGATCTCTTTTAAGGGAAATTACAAGGTTGGGAGAGAAAAAAGGGAAACAATTTGTATATATCAAAGCCTAATCTTAGCACATTTTAATATATTTTTAAATAATATAATAATATGATAATAAGATATAGTTTTTATACAACAGTTTCAGCATAAATTAATTTTGCTTTTTATTTATGTGAACGGTTCGACTTAAGTTTCAGGGCTGAAGAAAGACTAGTTAAAAACCAAACACAACATATTGGCAATAAAACTACAAACTATAATAAAAAGTTATGTACTACTATTATACATAAATATTCAGAAGTGAATAATATTTTTTTGTATAAGATAAATTAAAATAAAGTTGTGGTGATAATTTCTAGGAATGGATATATATATAAAATATATAAAGTGTTATATGTTACATATATATATATTCAAGCCTCATTATATAGAGTAGTTATATATTTTAATTTAACTTAAATAAGTGATTAAAAATTACGATTTTTAATCACTTAATTATATTTTCCAGCTAACTTTGTTTTTTTTAATCTTGTCTTCTATCAGCCCCGATGAAGGGCTAAAACTTAGGCTGAAACATTGGCATCAATAAAAAAAGAGTTTTATTTCATCGTGACGGCGACCCAACCATATTATCTAGAAACAGTCTATTATCTATTTCTCTTCCATTATGAAAATATTTTCTAGTCAAAACGTAGTCATTTACTTTTATAATCATTTTCATTTAATGTTATTAGAAAAAAAATATCAGAGGTTATTAATAATTTGTATGGAAATTTTTCAAATTAATAGGTGCGACAAATTGATTTACTGCTATTCATTCACTTAACTAAAGATATCTAAAAAAAAAGGGGAAAGATCAAATGTAAAAATAAAAATTTATAGCGAAGGAATGTTCATTTTTTAATCGGGTCGTACTGGTTTGGTTGATGAATTGGGAACGCTGATGCAATTATTAAATCATAGATGAGTTCAAATGATGGAAAATTAGGGGATATGTTTAGAACGGTCATAGGTATGTAAACAATTAATGTTTAACGGTAAAAAAAAGTCATATTTCTCTATAGTTGTTTTCAGACTAGTATTACTTTCTATCACCAATGAGGTCATCGATAGTAAATAACGGTGAGGTGACAATAGAGGGATATTCCTCGTACTTAAACAGGTTTCTATTTTGGTAAGAGTTCTTCACGACCCAATATCTCACCAAATTGTTAGTTAATTGCTTTAAATATTATTAGAAAATTAATATTTAATAAAAATATTTTGAAAAGTATACTAATTTTAATGCCTAACATACAACATATTATTTCACTGATGCTCGTAGAAGCATATACGACTAGCGGAGCTGGACCGGACGTTCTACGCTCTGAATATCTTCTTCCCTCCGATCTAGGCTATCTGTATGCACTGCCGTTTAGATTATTAGAGGCATAAATAAAATAAACTGCGTATATGTGAGAAGTATTTATAGCCTTATCAGTGTGACAGATCATACAACGGATCGGAATGGCAGTGACCAAATCCCTGCTGTTACTAATATTAGCAATCTGCCAAATAGATTAATTCTTTCTTCTTATTCCAAAGGTCTCGAATCCATATTACTTTGTCTACAATAGTTTGCATAAAATAGTTTTATGAAAAATGTATTTATTCTAATATACAGGTAAATAAAAAAAAAATAAATAAAAAAAACCTGTATTACTACAAACCATGAAGGGTCTTGGATTCAGTACTATGTGAGGGAATACTCTTGCAAGACCAAACGTTTGGGAAGAGAGTGATTGGGCTAAGATCACACTCAACCGCCAGGTTTACATTATGGAAAAATATAAATGTTAATGTTGTATGTTAGCATTGACCTGTAAAAGAAGTTTCTTCAAATCATAATCTTACTTATGATTACTTCAATAAATGTAAAGTTTTCGATTAATCAAAAAAAGAAAAAGAAAAAAAAAGAAGGAAATCATCTTTGGAGAACAAAAAGAACATGCTTAATCTCTAAACCAAACCTTCCGATGTCGATGTTATTTTTTCATTTTGCAAGGATTTTAGAAAGCATGGGTATAATGAAATAAAAATTTGGTGGGCGCAACACACAACTTTCACTTACCTCTCTACTTTGAATTTTATTTAATTTCTTTGAAAACATATGATTTCCTTTAAATAATATTAATTTTCAGAAATTATTATTTAAAATTTTTGTTGCCCTCCGTTACTTGTTTTTTTCTAAAATTCTCTACTTTCCAACGATATATTATACGTATACCTTCTTGTATTTCCGGAAATTCATTTTCGACCTAAATAAGCATTTTCCCTTTTTTCTTCATTTTTCAACTATCAAATTCTTTCAAAAGTTATATTTAGTATTTTTTGTGACTCTTAATAATGAGAGATAGTTAGTTATTTAAAATAAACAAAATTAAAGGTATGGTTCTACTACTGATTTGAGTACTTGAATACCTTCAGTGCTCGAAACACGCTCTGATGATAACCCACATGTTTGGATTGAAACGTCGGCACCAATAAAATCTTTATAATGACTGCATTCTGAATATTTATCACCCATGATATTTAGAACAATCGACTAACTTCTTTCAATAATTCAAATTAAAGGTACATTTTGAGGAAGACATTTTGAACATTTAAGCATTCAAGCCCTGTAAAGAGACATCAATGGGGATAAAACCTCAATGATATTAAACACCACTTAATTATATAATGACACACCGAGTTTTATCAAAATCGTTGGAGCCGTTTTTGAGAAAATTGTAAAAATGTGTATAACCGTTGATATAAAGTACCACTACCCGTGAGTCGATTTTAATGAAAAAGTTGCTGTCACATCCAAGGCATATATCTTAAAAACATAATATCAGTTTCCTACGACTTTTCGTTTTTGAGTTAGGATGAACACACGCTCCCCATTTTGTGGGATTTGGTTATTTAGACTCAGTGAACTGCAAAACGTATATTTCCGTTGAAAACTCAGATTCGAAAATTTTCACGATCGCACTACTTTCCCTTACTATATAATGCATATTAAGTGAAAGTAAAAATTACAAAAAAAATTGTACTTTTTGAAATATTCGCAAACAAATTTCTGAATTCATCGTAACTTTTTTTCAGCCTTTTTTCGGGGAAGCATGTTATAAAGATAAATTAAAAGTGATTTAAGGAGAATACCAGTCAAGTTTCGTTAAAAATTGTTATAAACGTTTTGGCGCTACTGTTTGTAATGACGTTTTCCGCCCGCCAATTTGAAAGGAAAAGCCAGATGTAATGAAATGTATATTAATACATTTCTGAATAAATTTTACTGTAACATTGTATCAAAATTTGAAAGCAATTGGTGAAAAATCTTAGGATATTAGCGGTTTCGAGCAAAGTAACAGTTACAGTTTTATTTATATGGATAGATTACACCTAATATTGCCGAACTGTTACCATAGATTATAAAACATTCTTAATATTGCCTAGGTGGATCCTAAGAAGCCGATTGGAGGTAACATTTTGGCCCACGCCTCCACGACCAGGATATCACTGCGTAAAGGAAGAGGTGATAATAGAATCGCCAAGATCTACGACAGGTAAAGGAGTATTGTTAGTTAATAGGTACTATATAAAAATAGTATTTAATGTATAATCACAAAACAGTACGAATCATTGAAGATGTTCTATATCTCCGTAATTAATATAATTATTATTTTCGACTATTTACCTCTAATTTAAATAATTTATCGAGTAACCTAGGAAGAATTCTTGTTATTAAATTATTTGAGGGTTTTTATTGAACATCATATAAGCTACAATTATTGTCTACCTATACATCCTGTATTAAAAAATAACTTAATTTTTAGGGAGAATGTTATTTTCATGATTCAATAATAATAATAATAATAATAAGGCTTAGCGAACCCGAAGGTTCGATGCCGACACCACCAATCGTTTGCTACACACCTCCCTCCACCGTTCGCCGTCCAAACCCAGTCCCTTCAGATCAGCTTTAATGCAATCTTCCCACCTTCGCTTCGGTCTACCCCTCCGACGCTTACCATTCGGCACAGCAAATATTAACGTTTTAGGAATTCTCTCGTTACTAAGCCCAACAACTTTACAAGCCCATTTGATTCGCCGCGATGAAATTACCTCAATTATATTACCCGGATATAGCTCACGCAATTCGGCGTTGTGTAACCGTCTGAACTCTCCGGTTAACTCATCCTTCTTCGGTCCGAATATTCTACGCAATACTTTATTTTCAAAAACCTTAAGACGCTGCTCATCCCTTAATGTAAGCGGCCAAGTTTCGCATCCATAAAGAACTGTAGGCAAGATAATTGTTTTATAGATTCTAATTTTTAAGTTGCGGGACAAGAGGCGCGAACTGAGTAGTTTTGTCACAGAAAAATAACAAGCATTCCCCGCCTTCAGTCTAACTTTAATCTCTTCTTCAATTTCGTTTTTTCTAGTTATCGTAGAACCTAGATACCTAAATTTATCTACCTGTTCAAACATATTACCATCTATATCGATATCACCAGTAGTATCGCTATTTTTGCAGCTAACCATATATTTTGTTTTATCCACGTTTATTTCGAGTCCTAGTTCTTTACCGGCTTTCATTAACGTTGTCGTATTTAGTTTTATAGTTTCAACGTCTTCGCTTAACAGTACCAGATCATCAGCATAGCCCAGCACGGATGTTGTCCCACCCAGATCCAACCCTTTCTCGGTACGCATTACCTCCCTAATGGCATGTTCTAATGCCAAATTGAACAGGACAGGCGAAAGAGAATCCCCCTGTTTTAAGCCCGAACGAACCTCAAATTTTTCGGACAAATTATTAACGATTCTAACTTTATTGAGTGTCTCCGTCAAGCACATCCTGACTAGATTTACTAGTTTTTTTGGAATTCCCTGCTCGATTAGAATATTATACAGTTTCTGGCGGTCAATAGAATCGTAAGCCTTTTTAAAATCTATATACAGCTGGTGAACAATACCGTTATACTCCAATTTTTTCTCTAATATTTGCCGTAAAGAAAATATTTGATCAATAGTCGAACGATTCCGTCTAAATCCGCCTAAAAATGTCGAGCCGTTTGGCGTGACCTACACCTTCAATATGTCAAAATAGCGGTTATATAGGCAAAACGGCCCAATATTTTTGAAGACCATCTTTTTTCTTGATTTTGTAATCGAATTATCTTACGTTACAAGTGGAATACAAATGGAGTTTTTAGTGGTTGATTTAATAGACAAAGTTTGCCGATCTCCAGATCGAAAACAACCCAATTCCCAGAGTTTTCCTAAATAAAATACTTGTAGGCACTAGCGGATCCCAGATTTAATTTTGGGGGCCGAAAGATTTGTTATATATATATATATATATATATATAACGATAATTAATTAAAAAAAAAGAAGTGAACTACCTATATGAAATGGTGTTTAAGTGATTTTAAGTGCTATTAAATGTAATTACACGAACAGTAATACTTTAATAGATAGTTTTTAATATTTTGTTTCTATAAAACATGGTTATATTTTACCGTTTTGGAGGGGGGGAGGGATATTCAGCCCGAAAGCTTTTGTTTTCATATATATAACGATAATTAATTTGAAAAAAAAAGAAAAAGAAATGAACTACCTATATGAAATGGTGTTTAAGTGATTTTTGAAGTGCTATTAAATGTAATTACACGAACAATAGTACTTTAAGAGATAGTTTTTAATATTTTTTTTCTATAAAACATGGTTATATTTTACCGTTTTGGAGGGGGAGGGATTCAGCCCGAAAGCTTTTGTTTTCATATATATAACGATAATTAATTTGAAAAAAGAAGATAAAGAAATGAACTACCTAAATGAAATGGTGTTTAAGTGATTTTTGAAGAGCTATTAAATGTAATTACATGAACAATAATACTCTAAGAGATAGTTTTTAATATTTTTTTTTCTATAACACATGGTAATATTTTACCGTTTTCGAGGGAGGTGGCTTCAGCCCGAAAGCCTCCCCCCCTCCTTAAATCCGCCTGTGCTTGTAGGTTATGATTAGATGAAGGTATTCACGAAGTTTCAGGCTGATGTTAATAATTTGACAAAAATGGTTCTGTACCTCGGACTATTTCTGTTACTTTGATATTATTCGCTGATGACAACCCTACGCCATTTGCAGTGCTACATGTAGAAGAGAGACAAGGTCGCAGTGGCAGGGCGTCCACCTCCAACCCCACAGTTAGCAGAGCTCTATCCTTGGCCGGCCAAGCGTCCCTCCATTAATATTGATGAGCGATTACTTACCGAAATAGATGTATAATTTAATCAGCCATCGGATATAGGTCGTAGTTAGGGGGCGCTCTGGCCATCTTACATCTCGCTACTTTCACATCAACCATTTCTCCAAACTGTTTTTTATCAATTAACCAATTGGCAATATAAGGCTTAGTAATGAAAGGAATATTCCTAGGTTGCAGAATAAAACATCTATCTCGCTAAATTTTATCTTGTCTAAAAATTGAGGTTACCACCCCCTGAAGAAATGCCTTCAACTTGAAACAGACTAGTAGCGTATCTAGGGTCGTGTAGATAGTATAGACGCCTTGGGCGCCATTCAAAGAAGAACTGAAAATTCGTATAGTATTAATTTAAAACTTCAGCTCACCAAGGAAAATTTGGCCCTGTGGTCCTTCGGAAATGAAAGAGAACGTAAAATTCGTCAAAGAAGGAAATTAATTTAAATTCTACCATGAACCATTAAATTCAATATCTCTTAAGTAAAATGGGCCTGGAGCCAGGCCGAAAAGACTATAATAGTATTTTAAGCCAATTTTCAACCTAACAGACCCACTAGCAGATCCAAAAAAAGAAACTAACTACCTATATGAAATAGTGTTTAAGAGATAATTGAAGTCCTGTTAAATGTAATTAATTGCACGAATAATAATACTTTAGGATCTAATTTTTTAATATGTTTTTTTCATAAAACAGGATTACATTTTACCATTTTGGGAGGAGGGGCTTCAGCCCGAAACTCTTCCCCCCCTTGAATCGCCTGTGAACAGGCCGATTGTACCCATTTCAGGTATTATGAAAATGCTCGTCTGCCAGCTCAGACAGGCAAATTTAATGTTTTAGGGGAATTTGAACCCTTCCAAAAGTTCAATATCTTGGGGTATTTTAAGCAAAGTTTCTCCTCGTCCAGCTAAGATACATTATTGAATAAGGTCATTAAAAAGAGGATGAAATGCTGAACATTTCCGTTGTCTACAGTATGCATGTCCGAATTTTAGTTTCTGAGTTGTTTTAATCCATATCTTCAATAAAACTCGTAATTAGTTTGCTTTCGACATTTTTTTTCTATTTCCGCCTCTCTAACTCCGCGTCGCGTTTAAGTACAATTTCGAATAATATTTCATTACAAAAAGGATGAAATGCTGAACATTGTCCTTGCTTACAGAATGCAGGTCCGAATTTTAGTTTTGTGAGTCAACTAATGAAGTTTTTGCATGAATTAAAATATCTCAAAAAAATCTGTATCACTACACCCCTTGGGTTCAGTACTATGTGAGGGAATACTGCATGAACAAACGGTTGTGCAGGGAGGGATTGGGCTAAGATCACGCTCAACCGCCAGATTTACATTGTGGAAAAATATAAATATAAGGTGTATGTTAGCATTGACCTGTAAAAGGAGTTTCTATATCACTTCTTCAAATAATAATCTCGCTTGATTTAATAAATATATAGTGAAAGAAAAGAAATTTTTTTCGATCAATCAAAAATAAAAAAAAGAAGGAAATCATCTTTGAAGAACAAAAAGAACATGTTTAATCTTTATTCCAAACCTTCCGATTTCCATGTTATTTTTTCATTTTGCAGGGATTTCAAAAACATGGATATAATTAAATAAAATATAAAAATCCATAGCGCGTTTTGTGAGTCTACCATTTCAAGTTTTTTTTTTTTTGCATATGAATTAAAATATCTCAACAACAAAAAATCAGACTTGCATACTATGGGCAAGAGAAATTTACAGCATTTCATCCTCTTTGTAATGAGCTATTATTAAAAATTGTATCTTAACGAGATATTGTGTAAGAGAGGCGAAACAGGAAAATAGTGTCGAAAATAAACTGATAACGATTTTTATTGAATATATTGGATTAAAGTATCTCAGAAACTAAAATTAGGACCTCCATACAGTAAGCAAGGGAAATGTTGAGCATTTCAATTTCTTACTAATGACCTATTATTGAAAATAGTATCTTAACACGACGAAGAGGAAATTTGCTTAAAGTGTCCCAAAATTTTGAACTTTTTTACGGGTTTAAATGCTCTTAAATCGACCTGTCTGAACTGGCAATAAAAATTGGCTCAAAATACTACGGCCTTTTCGATTCAGGCTGCAGGTCTAACGCAAACCATAAGGAAATGTACGTTACTTTCTTTGATTTCTCTTGAAAAATGACATCAGATGGATTGGTCAAAACTCATTTACACGTTCGTGTTTCCTTAGTTCTCGAAATGTTGAAATGCGGCTTAAAATATTTTATAATCGATTCTGAAAAATCTAAGCTGAATTCACAGTTCGTTAACCGTTAGTGTAATTTAAGTATCGTTTATTCTATAGATTCTATTTTTGTTATTATATAATTGAAAACATATTATTTATATTTAGAAAGAACTAGTTGTGATAAATATATATTTGTCTTCCACAGCCCAGATATGCCGGAGAGCGAGGCTACTTTCGCCATCGGCAACGGAGGAATCATAGACGCACACGATTAGCTCCTCATTGATATGGGATTTCAGACCATTTTAGATCTGTATTGATTTCCTTATTTATTTTGTATAAATTGTAATAATGTTCTACTCTGTGTCGTCTATATTAATTCTTCTTCAAATATGTCTGGACTCAACACCGAAAAATTATAAGCTGAACAAGAGTACCAAGGCAATGTTTGAAATTAAACTTCAAATGTTTTTATATAGTTCATTTATATTCATTTTTAAACTCGAAATTTCGTTGCATTTTCATGTAATAACTTTGTATATTATATTTTAATTTTGAATAATAATATTTATTATATATACTTCATTTGTGTTTTTTTTTAACATTAATCTGATACAGTCATGCAACTGTTTTATGGTTAAATATTCATGCTACCCACATCATTTACCATAACGCAAAACATATTTTATTTTCTCTTTAAACCAAGCTCTACCTTTTCAGGTAAAACTATTTTTTAAAACCTTAAAACTTATTCTGGATTAAGATTAATTGTTTCATAGGACAAACAGATTATATAAATAGTTATTTCACCCTCCTAATATTTTTCTTTCTAGTTTTTGATATTTTCCACTTGCTGTCGGTATCAAGATATTTAAAATAAATAATTTGGTTTAGTAATAATGTAGCTGTTAGTTAAATTAGATATTGTGTTTCCCATAGTTTGTGAACTATCTAAACGTACCGTGATAGGCACAAGATAATGCAAAAAAGGAAGTATATTTGAAAACATGTTAACAAAGCTAATGAATATATTAAATGTTTTTATTTTTATTTAAAGGTTTGAGGCAGTGAGATGAACTCTCAATTCTCCGATGCTTCAAATTTGCCGCGTGATAAAATTTTCACGTAAAAATGGAAGTGTATATTTAATAGGATCATGAAATATAGTCCTATATATAATTATCTTTGAATATAAATTAAAAATTTCTATAATAGGAACATAGGGTATAGTAGGATAATATACTTCTATACCTATTTCTAGGCCTTAGCTTACCCATTTAGTCGACTTTAGTTAATTTACATATTTTATATATTCGTGTAGATTTAAATGTTACAAATTTTGTTCTTCAAAATATCGGGGAGGGCAATCCTGCTCCTAAGTCTGCGCATCTAAGATAAATGGTAATTTAGTATTGACTGAACAAACTAATAATAGAAACTTCTTTGGAAGGAATTAATACAGAATACAGATAAAAATGAAAAAAATGTTTAAGGAACTTCAATTCTGAGGAAGGTGAGAAGTTTTATTAATAAATATTAATTTATATAAAAAAAAACTATTTTAACAGTCTTTGTACCAATTGCGCTCGGATTCTACCAACTCCTCTGGTAGCTCAGTTGGTAGAGCGGTGGACTGTAGTTGGTTAAGATGTAGCAGGTATCCATAGGTCGCTGGTTCAAATCCGGCCCGGAGGATTTCTTTTTATTTATTATTTAATATTTGAAAATTATTAAGGCCACTGCTTCAATTCTATTTATTCCTTTTTCATATTTATATTTTTTATATTCATAAAAAAAAATATTTGACAATTATTGGAATATATATTGGTATGAATCTTTTTACAGAAAAAGTAATCTCTTATTAAAGGTATGGTATCAAAAGTAATCTCTTATCCATAGGTCACTGGTTCAAATCAGGCCCAGAGGATTTCTTTTTATTTATTTCTTATTTAATATTTATAAATTATTAAGGTTGGTACTTCAATTCTATTTATTCCTTTTTAATATTTATATTCTTTACAATCATGAAAAAAAATATTAATTTAAATATGTGACAGTAATTGAACTATATATTGCTATAAATCCTTTTAGAGAAAAAGTTATCCCTTATTAAGAATACACAAAATTTAGATAGATTAGTTTTTTCAATAAAAATTGATAATTTTTAATATTTAAACTATTTAGATTACAATATAAACCATTTTAATTACGATGTCTCTCTATCATATCCTATAATTTTCAATCAAGATTTACCAAACATTTATGATTTTTTGAGGCATTCATGAATTTTCTTTTTTTTTTTTAATTGTTATATCTGCTTTACTATAACATGATTAAAAAAAAAAAAAAAGATACTTGAAAAATAATACGTTAAGGAAGACAGTGTCTTCAACAAATCAACAACTTTTGTATTTTTTTTTAATTATTATTATTTAACTATATAAATAATAGTAATATTCTGCTAATAAGTACAGTAGAGTTCCATTAATCTGGACATCCAGTTAAACAAGATCAGATTAAAAAAATAATTAAAAAGTTGTAATATAAAAATTTAATTTAGGGTGAAGTAAATTACAAGAACATTATGGATTATTCCTTTTTCCAAAATATTATTCTTGTTTTTGTCACAAGAAAACATTATTGAACTTTCTTTTATAGTCCCATTCATTCATTATCGTTTATATCATTTTAAATTTTATATTCTAACATAAATGTATCATGGTTTTTTATGAGGTTTGAGGGAGTTCAATTCTGAAGAAGGTGAGAAGTTTTATTAATAAATATTAATTTATATAAAAAAAACTATTTTAACAGTCTTTGTACCAATTGCGCCTGTTCAACCTGTTCAAATAAATTTTCAGTTTTTATTTGTTAATCCTGTCACAGTTTGTTGGTAAAAAACTTATATCAACATATATAACATATATGTTTAAGATATAACATTGAAAATACAGTTAAGCAGAAAGAAAAATTTGTTTTTAAGAAAAAAATAACCATTAAAATATTTTTGTACATTTTGCTATAAATGCTGTTATATACAGATTTCTGGTGACATGGTCTAATTTAATCTAGAATATTGGGACTACTGTATAATGAGTACGAATATTGTATGCAAATTTTTATTGTTTTTTTATTATTCTAGGATTGTAATGCGACTTCTTTAATAACATATATTAACATTTAAAAAAAATTATATGACAATTGAAATTCATATACCAAACTCTAAAATCATACAAATTTAAAACAAACTTTTAATTTTTAATTATAAAATAAAATTAAAAAAAAAAAGGAATTCTCAGGCAACTCAACTTGTAAGTTCATAAGGGATTTTACATCACTAATGCTATTTTATTTTATAATAAATACAATTAAAAAATCAGGAAAAGCTTGTTAATATTCTTATGTGTTCTTCTCAAATATGTCAAAGGTTGGATTAAAAAAAAAATATATGATAACTTATACTAAGAGTATTTATTTTAAAAGAGACTATGTACAACAATTATGATTAAATAAAAGTATTTACAAAAATAAAAATAAGTAAAACAAATATGTCTGATTGTTGCAATAATAGTTTCTGGAAGGGATCCTATAGGCCAAGCCTGAGAGGAGTCCTGTGTGGCGTGCTTCCGGGTGCTCCTGGTTCTGCCACCTGAGAGCTCCTTTTGGACCAGCGGCCTCGTTCTTCTTCAGCTTGTCGCTCACGATCCTTCATTTGTTTCTGTGCGGCCTCCATTTCAGCTTCCATTCCCTCCATAGCCTCTCGTCTCTTAGATGAGCCAGAACGGCCAGTTTCTTTGATGGAGAAGAACATTGGACCTAGTTCGGCCAGCCAAACCCCATCTACTGCAGTAACACACTGCATGTACTCCTACAAACAATACAATAATAATTATTATAATAAAACAATAGATGATTAAATGAAGCCATACTTCAAATAAGTTCTTGACACACCAATATTTCAAAAACGGCCCATTCGATTCGGTCCAAAGTTGGAGGATTTATAGAAAACATGGTCTAGGATCAATTTTATCCAATGCCATCTACTTGGGATGCACATTTATGTTTATTTCCCTGACACACCTATATTTCAAACCCAGTTCATCTTAAGCTCAAAGTTGGGTACTAATATATAATACAAAAACATTAAAAAATCATGTACCACTACAACACATGAAGGGTCTTCAGTTCAGTACTTTATAAGGAAGTACTGTTTCTAGACCAACAATTGCGCAGGGAGATGATTGGGCTCAGATCACGTTTAACAGTCAAGTTTTCTCCTTTAATTAATGGTTTTATTAAGAGTACTAGCCTCTTTATAAAGGCTGGGTGTGCTCCCAAACAACAAATGGACCCGAATAACTGCTGAGATACTTGCACAGAGTGGTCTCACGGACCACTACGGATCCTAAGGATAGGATCAAGAATGGTACCATAAAGAAAGAATTAAATATTCCAACAAAGTAGAACCTGGAGAAGACAGTTGGGATGGTAAAGGCATATATACAGAACGAGCCCTGATTGAGATCTATGTAAATTTATGAAGGAGAAAACAGTAGATACTAGACCTAGAGGATGACCTCAGCTTAGCAATAGCTATATTTCCAGGTTAGGTCAAGTGAGAGAAAAGACGTTACAGGAGATGACTACTCTTGTGAGAGACAAAGATAGATGGAGATTTTGGGTTGGATTAACTCAATGATGAAAGGCACTAAGAGGAAGCTAAAGGAGAAGAAGTTAACATTTATTATAAGCATTTAAACATTAAAAACTATTAAGAATACCTTGGAAGTCATAACTAGCTCATGGTAGACAACATAGTCAGGAGTGAATCCCATTCCAAACAGAGCAGAAGTAGGATGGAGATGGCAAGGCATTCCTGTTCTCAAGTGAACGTACTCACCTATTCCTTTGAGGCGAGCCCCTTGATGAAAGTAGGCTATACATAAAATAAAAAATAAATTAAAACCGGATAAATAACATTACATGATGATAAGAGGTAATTTTATGTGTATGACTGACCTGAACAAATGCACTTTCTGACTATGTCCCAGTCAGTACCACATGAAATCACTTCCATCTTCTGTTGGTCCAGGATGTCTTTGAGCTGCTGGCGAACCTCGCGGACCTTCCTCATTGCTTTAGCATGAATGAAGTGGTCATTACACCACGTTGAAGAATATCTAAAAGTAAATAAATAAATAGGAGAAATTAATTTAATAAATAAATAAGAAAATAATAAGATAAATGTTAAGTAAAAAAATTACTTGTTCTGCTTCCATTGATTATAAACATTTAAATAGGTTAAGTGATCAGATTCTGGGACTTGAAATTTCTCTCTAACACTATCTGCTTCGTCTTCTCTTCCTTTAGGTCGATAAAAAATTGTTGGGACAGACAACATTGAAACTGAAAATATCACAAATAATATAATAATATTTTTTTGTATATTAACTTAGAAATTATTCTTTTTTTTTTTTATGTAGTTTTTTAACCTACCGATAATAAGAATTTCAGCAGTACATCTCATCTGATTCGACACTATCAACATCTGACACTGTGGTGGATCTAGGGGGAATTCGGCCATCTGCCTGCCGAGAGGTGTCAATGATCCTGTATGGTCAAGAGCTCCGAGGATCCACAGTTGGTAAAGAGAATTAAGGATGTTATCCTATAGAATTTGTAAATAGAAAATTTGAGAGATGAAACGCTTCGACAGGTATGAATTATTACTATCAGTAAACAACCAAGGATGGCAAAATTGTATGCACTTACTTACTTTTATTATTTAACAAATTTACGGTATCAATTTTAAACATATGGTATCAACTCAAGAAAAGAATCATATGAGTTGTTCTTCTAGAAAGGGCGAATACCCCTTTCACTTTAATACCTTTTCTGTCAATGTGATGTGGTATGATAAGAATAATTTTCAAACAAAACATTTTTCATTCCCTCACTATGTCCTAACCATAATTTGAAAATTAAAAATATTAGGGCATACTGGATAATTATTTGGTTTCAGTATCAACTTTTTTTTATTTATATGATATTTACAACTGTATAAAAAAAAATACATCTAGTAAATTTGCACATGGATATAATGAAATTAAACCCATGTTGAGAAACTACCCATTGGTAGCACTTTAATAATATGTCTATATTAGGAGATCACGTGGCCATCTTCTTTTCAGGTGCCTCGGAGGGTTATCAGGAATTGAATAGGAAAAAAGGTTAGAAACAAGAGGGTTGGGATGGTTATGAAGTTTATTATGGAAGGATAGATATCTGGATTGGACCAAATCTGATACATAAGGAACATTAAGGTCATGGTGGATGATTTTATTTGTAACAAAGTAAGGAGCATTGAGGATTTTGGATTGTAAGGATTGGATACGAGAGGAATTTGAAGGTTTGGTGGAGCCCCATAGCTCAACTCCGTAAGTCCAAATAGGCCTTATTATAGTCATGTAAATGAGTCTTTTGTAATTAATTGGAAGGTTAGAGCGTTTGTCTAGTAAGTGTTGAAGTAGTCGGAAACGTCGAGCTGTTTCTTGTCGTTTCAGTCTGGTATGAGGATTCCAAGTTAGACGATTCCAAAATTCTTCAATATAGAATTTGACAGATATGATTATACACCCGCACTCTGTAAAGGTTTGTTTGGTTGTATCTCTAGAACATCTCCCCTTCTCCCCTCCTTTATAATGTAATTACTACATAATGTGAATGATTCTTTGAAAGAATGACTTTAAGGTGATTAATAAAAAATTGAAATTGGTCCTTTCCAGGAGAATAGCTCATATAGTAATTACACACAAATGTAGATGCCATTATTAAAATTTTAATGTTTAATTTTTGATAATGCCTAAAATATAACCTAAGGAAATGTTTTAATATACCTGAGGAGGTGGGTCCATAAAATGGAACTGTAGCAGATCTTGGACGCCCAACGATTTAAGCAATAGAACAGTGTTAGCCAAATTGGTCCTTTGAATCTCCGGTACTGTTGAAGTTAAGAGTTCATCCTTGTATTGCCGTTCAGTATAAAGCCTAATAACAGAAGTTGCAACAATAAACAAAAATGTCAATACAATTAGGCAATATTATACTGTTTAATATTTCTAATTATTTAGGTTATATACCAAACTACGACAGTCTCATAATAAATATTTAATTTATATCTCATTTATCATAATTCATCTGTATTGAACATTAAATTATAAAAATAACGTTTTTTCAGAATCATGAAACAAGTCATATGCCACATGCGGCCTCCAATTGTTTATGCATGATATTTATTAATCTAGCGGTAGAATTATTAATATTTAATTATTCAAATCGCAAAAATTTGGAAATTAATAGAAATAAGTCGAATATATGTATGTTGGTATGTGTATTTAGTGATAAATAAAAAAAAGCAGCAGTAAAATATAAAGAATTGTTGCAGCCTTCATTAGCAATGCCTAACCTTACTGCGGCCTCAAAAGGACTCTCCTCCTATGGTATCAATGTATTTAATATTATGTTTAGGTTATAAAAGAGTTAAGCATTACCTATAAGCGTGACCAGGTCCCGTCCTACCAGCTCTTCCAGAACGCTGGTTGGCGTTAGCCTGGGAGATGGGATAGATCTGTAAGGCATCCATACCTATTCTAGGGTTGTACACTTTCAGCTTGCAATATCCAGAATCCACAACATACATAATACCGTCAACTGAAACAGAGGAAATTTATTAGTCAAAGTACATGACGAAATAGCAAGAGCAGATGATAACAAAAGAAACCTGTTAAAGACGTTTCAGCGATGTTCGTAGCTACAACACACTTGCGCACTCCATCAGGTGAGGCTTGAAAGATTTTGGCTTGCAGGTCAGATGGCAGCTGGGAGTAGATGGGCAAAATAGATAGCGGAGGTGCAGCATCTATCTCAGCCAGTCTCTCTCCTAACACTTCACAGGTAACTTCAATGTCTTCCTGGCCAGGCATGAATATGAGAATGTCTCCTGAAAGATGCATTAACAATTAAGTCATTATTAACAAATAAGAAAACTATTATATACAAATATTAAATATATTTATTTCTAAGAATTTTTAAAAAAAATATCTTTGGCTTGAAATTATTTAGTCACCACAAATAAGTTAAATTGCTCATATTAATTGTTTATAAAAAATCTGGTGCGGTGCTTGCATCACACGAACATTCACTTACCATCCTCTTCTTGCCAGAAATAAGTATTTTCAAACAAAGGGGAAGTGAAAGTAAAAAATTATAAACGCTATATTGATTTATATTTCATTATGGGTATTTTTATTTGTTTAAGTATCCTTATCTATGCAAATTTTAATATTTATATCACTGTAATCTATATAATTAAATATTAAATAATACCAACAATAGCATGTATGGAAATCGCATATGTATATTTACATAATATAGTCAGAGTCCTTATTATATTATGCTCATGTTACGTATGAAAGCGTGTTCTTATCTTTCGGGTGAGCATGGAAGCGCTTGTATTCTTTTGGTTCCTCAATTACAACAGTTCTCAGTTACGATCTCTCCTTTAGTTAATTATCTAATTTAACTATCTTTTATATTAGCGATTAATGTGAAATGGCCAATTGTTTCAAATAAAAAAAAATAAAGGTACTTTAGGGGAAGCTAATATTGAAAATTAGCCATTGAAGCCCTGTTAGAGGAAATCAATCATAATAAAACCTACATTTTATTTAAAGCAGCTTAATTTTACACTGATATAATGAATTTAATCAAAATCGTTAAATACTGACCCTTGGTTGGTAGAAGGTGAATCTGCAATGCTTGCTTGACTGATGCTTCAACATAGTCCTCGACCGCATTTCTGGCAAAAAGGACCTCGACAGGGAATGTCCTTCCAGGGATAGTGTAGACAGGGACATGTCCGAAAAACATGGAAAACTTTGAGGAGTCCATAGTGGCTGAAGTGACGATTAACTTGAGGTCTTGCCTCCGGGCGACCACCTGGACATTAGAATATATTTAATGAAACTAAAAAAAAAAATAACAGAAAACAATAAATAAAAACTATGGTGTGTGTTTAAGATCACACGATAGAAGTGAAAACATCAAGTTGGGATTATTAATCTGAAATATATATTGTTCTATATTCACAAAGTAATAACATGTACAATTATGATTGTGTATAAATTACTATGGTAAAGTTTGCTCTGACTAATCTTCATTTGTATCTCTAAAAATGAAACAACTTAGGTTTATGATAACTAGAATATGTGATAAATATTATTGATTGATATTTATTTACTAAATATCTAACAAAAACTCTGTCAATCATTCCATATTTTGTTATGCTGTCATTTGACTAATTTGACAAAATATCAATATTGACTTCTGCAAATTGGTTTCTAAATTCTCTATGGTATTTAAATTTTGAGATATTTTAGTCCAGATGTTTAAAACAGTCATTATTATTTATTTTTTTGGTACTATATTTTTCTCTTTTGGCGTCACATCAAAATACAATTTTGAATTATAGGTCATTACGAAGAGGATGAGACGGCTCAATCTAATTCAATAGCCCCGAAATAACATGCTAGGCGCACCTAAAGAAGTTTTCACTTCAATAAACTGTCATTACAAGCTTTTATACTAAAGTTGGCTATAACTGTCCAATTATATATTTAACCTAAATTTCAGTTTGATTAAAACTAACCTGCCGCAGAAGTCCGAAGAGTACATCTGTGTTGAGCGATCTTTCATGAGCTTCGTCCATTATAATTGCAGAGTAATTGTCCAAATCAGGCTCTCTTAACGATTCTCTCAACAGGATACCGTCTGTCATATATTTTATCACAGTGTCCTGAAAATATAAATTTGAATTTATGAATCAATTGAAATATATGTTTTCATGCACTTCATGCAAAGATATCATACCTCCGATGTGCAATCTTCAAACCGAATAGCATATCCCACAGTCTTTCCTAATGGTGAAGCCATCTCGTCAGACACTCTCTTTGCCACTGACATTGCGGCGACCCTCCTCGGTTGGGTGCATCCTATCATTCCTGATTTGGAGTAGCCATCTTCGTGTAAGTACTGGGTCAACTGAGTGGTCTTACCAGAACCTGTTTCACCAACAACAACTACGACGCTGTTTTCACGTATTATATTCAGTAACTGAAAAATTATAAAAAAAAACAGTAAAAATTATGTACTTTTATTTACTTGTAGATTATTTTGTTAAATTTTCACTTTTATTTCTCCAGATGTAATATAAATATTTTTTTTTAGAAAAAAATTGCTTCACTTGTCATTTATTTCTATTAAATATTAAAAAAGTAAATAAAAATATATATGATAAAAAAAATTAAAATATTGTTCTAGAAAATAAAATAGTGAATTAATAGAAATAAAAATATTCTAATCTATATATTTATAGGTATTTTTTTTTATGCACTGATTACTTCATCTAGCTGTGAAACAGGGAAAATAGAGATTTTGATAGGGAAGGTATTTTCATGTAAAGTTGCTATAAAATAAAAATATTAATAACCTATGTGTTGATAGGTAAAATTTATGTCTGTGTCGCGATTTTCTCTGTGGAACGGGTTGGATGATTTGTTGGTTTTTTTCCTCCATTTTGAACATGAGGGAGCACGTTTTCTACAAAAGCAATCTATACAGTTTTAAACTAGATTAAATATGCTACAATTTAAGACCAAAACAGGTTCGGTAAGTTTAATAATTTTTGAGATTTTCAAAGTTTTGGAACTTGAATATTTTAAGCTATTTTTACTGTTTGATCGTATGCATGTCTTTATATCTTCAATAAGTTGCCTTATATGATTCAGTGAAATAAATGTTTATTCATTTTAACATTTTGAAGGAGGGGTGAGAGAGGAGGGAAGGTTTGGTGGGAGAGGGGAAATCACTTTTCACAACTAGATGACTAAAATTGAAATAAAAAAATTATTTAAAACATCATTTACATCAAGTGCATACAAAAATTGTAAATGAAGTTAATGAAATTTTCAAAAATTGAAAATTTTAAGCTAATGTCATGTTTATGTCTTCAATAACCTGCCTTATAAGAGTTAATGAACTAAACATTTATTTAAGTTATTATTTTGAAGGAGTAGGATACAATTTGTGATTGGGGCACATTAAGCAAGGCCAAAGTTTTACACTGATTTGAAAGATTGAAGGAGGTTACAACTGTTTTTTATTGAATTATAACAATCACACACGACCTATGAAACCTACTTGCGATTACTTATTTGAATTAAATATTCTCCACAACACTACATTTAGTACTACCAACTGCCTTCTAACTGTTTTTATAACATAATGATATATCACATGCTGTTACATACACAACCTTATTCATGTAAATCAAGATGCATGTTCGTATAGCATTTCGATTTGTTATTCTGTCATTAAAGAAATACATTTTTTAAGATAAGACAAATAATATTACCTCTTCCCTGACAGCGAAAACAGGAAGGTATTGCCTCTGTTGCTGAATAGTCTTCTTTTTGGCAAATTCGCTGGCGGCTGGTGCCATATCTTTCATATGCTCAGCAAATTTTTGACTTGTTTTATAGTCGGCCTCAACGTCACCATCTATTTTGTCATCTTCCTATTGATAAGTTTAATAAAGAATAAAAAATTAATTATCAAAAATATATAAATCTACATACATTTTTTAAATCTACAATAAGAAGCCCGATACAAAACAATTTTAATTTTTTTTAATGTCAAGGAGATAGAATTTATGTGGCATTGATTTTTAAATTAAAATTTTAATTTTTAAAAATTGAAAATTTTATTTATATTTATTTACAGCAACTAATAGTAATAGATTTCTGAAGATGCCAATAATTAAGATGTTCTTAGCATGCAATAAAACCACACCTGACAGATAAATTGTAATTTAAAACTAATATGATGTTTAGATGAAACTCCATTATCAATGATGGATCTATTTTTCTAAACTTAATTAATTTAGAATAAGTCAAAAAAACTGAATATTTTTTCTAGATGTTTATAATTCATTATTAAATACTACAATAATGTGAGAAAAAAATAAAATTAAATTAAAAACTGAAAAAAAAAGAGAAATCAATGATGATTTAATTTTAAAAATTTATAAATCCAACTTGTGTCCTATTTTTTATAAATCTGTTTTGATTAGAAAATCTCTGGTCTCACTCCAAAACGAATAAATTAGAAAAAATAAAAATACATTTAAATATTGCTATTGATATAAGTGGCTGAATATGATACTATCTTGGAGGATGATATAGAAAGGGCTTTGGAAAAACTAAAACTAGGCAAAGCAGGAGGTAGAGATGGCATCTTCCCAGAGTTTGTTAAATACGGAGGAAATAAAATGAAAAAAATCACTGCAAGCACTTTTCCATAACATATGGATTGATGCTCTCATAAATGTTATAGAAAAGGATGGAAATCGAAGTAAATATATCGCTTTCTTAGACTTGAAAGCCGCCTTTGATTCAATACCCCGATGTGAAATATGGAGAGCACTTAGAGAAAAGGGTATTCCCGAAGATCTTCTGGCAGCAATAAAATCAACATACGAAAGCCACAAAAGAATAGTGCGTAAATGTGGATGAGAGTCCAAGCCATTTCCATTGGAATGAGTTGTAAAACAGGACAGCTTGAGTCCATTATTGTTTATCTCCTTTATGAACGAAATCCACAAAATATGCAGAAGAAGAACTGCTTGGACTGCAGTAGATGTGTGGAACATGAGGATAGTTCAGGTGCAGGCATTCCAATATGCAGACGATATGCTGCAGTTCGACTCTCAAGAAAAACTGCAACAGGTCATTACAGAATGGCAGGAAGAACTCGCTCGTAAAGGAATGGGTATCAACTGCCGCAAAAATAAGGTTATGACTGTAGCAATAGATGAGGGGAGTATGGGAGATATAAGAATGACATGCAATGGAGAAGAGCTGGAGAATGTAGACTACTATATTCATAATCCCGATTCCACCTACCTTGGAACAATCGTTAACAAATCTGGGATAATAGAACAAGAAGTTTACAACAGGATAAAGAAAGCTAACAGTATATATTACCACATTTGCAACATAATTGTGGGAAAGAGAGAGGTAGGAAGGAATGTCAAACAACACATCTATAAAGCAGTTTATTTCCCTACATTATTAAATGGCAGAGAAAGCTGGGTCAGCCAAGACAAGCATTTAAGCAAGATTATGGCTGCTGAAATGAAATTTCTAAGAGGAATTTAGAGAAAAACCAGAAGGGACAGAGTGAGGAATGAGAGAATAAGAGAGGAACTCTTAATACCCACACTGAAACGCTGACAACTTCGATGGCATGGACACATATGTAGAATGGGAGAAAACAGAATGCCAAGGAAATGTATGGAAGCGAGGACAACTGGCAGGTCTAAAAAAACATATCCAGCAACTAGGCGAGGAAAGAGGGAAAACCCTAAGTCAGATGAAGGAACTGACGAGAGAAAGAGATGTATGGTCAAAGTGGCTAGAGACTCCTCCATGCTGAAAGGCACACAAGGAGGAAGAAAAAGAAGAAGAAATGAGTAAGATAATTCCATTTTTACTATTTTATTCTGCTTACAAACCATAAATACCTAGTTCAGAAAAAAATAATAATAATTTTGGTATAAATTACTATAGTATTAGTATTGGGGATGCTATGTATTTAACGAACCTTATCTTTTTTCTTTGGAACTCCCATGATGTTACCAATTGTTGTTCCTGACAGTTCCCAGTGTTTCTTTTGGGCCCTTTTCCTCTCTTTTTGTTCCCTGTAGGCTCTGACCAGTGCCGATCCCTTCCTTGAGACCAATGCCATGTCTGAAGTTGGATCCTGGAATATAACGATAAAAGTTACCATGATTCTATAAAAGAATTATTTAGATACTTATTAAGAAAAAAATAAACCACATTACAGATATAGCAATATTAAATAAAATAAAACAAGAGGATTGTATACTAACATAAGGTGGCTTGCCATAAACTAATGTTTATTAGATATATGTCTATTAATAGTTACTTCTTATATTTTTAAATATATCATAACACAATTAATTGTACTGAATTCTAACAGTTTTATAAAAAATATAATTACAATTTATTCCAATATTAAATATTCCAGGAAAAATATTTAGAATTTAAATATATATATTCAATTGAGAAAAACTACCTCAAAACACCATGATATTAAATTGTAAATCTTAAAAGATGTGGAATAGGAAATGATGGAAAAAATATAGATGGCGGTCAACCACGGAATTCTTAAGTCTATTGATGAATATAAAATATAAGAATCAAATATATACGTGTGTAGCCAGAGAAGATTTTAATAAATAAAGCCATGTATATATTGATGTGTCATTAAAAAAAAAAAAGATGTTTTCATGTTTATTGAATTTACTTTTAATCAAAACTAATTATTCCTAACAAAAATAAAAAATAAAAATATCGATTTTATCTTGTTACTTACCTTAACAGGTATTACTGGTTCTGGTTGTTTGGTAAATACAATGCGACCATCCAAGAAAGGAGGTACGATGTTGTGCACCAAAAGATGGACTCTGGCTTCTGCTTCCTCATCAAAATCTTCGTCAAGATCAAGATTTTGAACCACTCCAGACGTCAACATCCTATTCCTTTCCCATAGCTCATTATCCTAGGAAACAAATTGTTTGTTAATATACTATTTTTATAGATGTGTAATCATAAACAGAATTAAAATATTTTTCATAAACTGAATTAATACCTAAGGTAACAAATTTACTTTCATTGTTATAGTCAGTAGTAAATAAAAATAGTGGATCTACACATGAAGAGCTAAGGAGGTAAAAATAGACTGGTTTTATTATATAAATTGTTAATAAAGAGTTTCAAACATCTAATGTGCATTCGGATTAGAGTCTGATATTGGTTTTTTAAGATATTTGTATATCCATAAAATTATGTCTCACTACAGTTCCTATAATGAATATAATTAATGATTAGGAACTGGTGGCTGAATGCCTTAACGCAGAACCATGAACATCAAATTTCAAGAATTGTTTGATGAAGATGACGCTAAAATCCAAAAACAACTCGTGGATCAATTGAATGTAACACAATAATCTGTCAACATACATTTGAAAGCTATCAGAAAGATCTAGAAGATGGGAAAATGGGTTCCATATTAGCAGAATAAAAAACAGCAAGAAAACTGGAAAATCCTGAAATACTGCTCACCACGTACAAAATAAAGTAATTGTTTACATATATTTTGAATATCTATAAGAATCAAAGATCATAGGTGACTCCAGAACCATTGATTGCAAGGCCAAGTCACTATGGAAACAAGACAATACTCTGTGTTTAAAGGAATCAGAAGGGTGTGATCCATTATGAACTGATAAAACTTGGTGAAACCATTAATACTGAATGCTATCTCGACAAGAAATGATCAACTTGAATCGAGTATTGCGTTAAAAACAACCAGAATATCAAAAAATTATAACACAAAGTGATTTAGCTTCATGACTATGAACCATCACACACAGAAAAAATCAGAGAAGGAAACGACTGAAGTTTTAAGGTGGGAAATATCAGTTCATGCAGCTTAGTCTTCAGACTTGGCTCTGTCTGATTACTATTTATTTGCAACAATGGGACAAACAATAGCTCACTTTTTGTGAAAATATATGAAAATGGATTGATGACTGGTTCATCACAAAAGAGCAACAGTTTTTTGACATGGCATACATAATTGACAGAGAGATGAGAAAAATGTATAGCTCGCAATATAAAATATTTTTGTGCAACATGTATTTTCTATATGATAATTCCTGTTTCATATTTAAACACCTGGTACATGGGCCCTTAACAAGAATTAAAACTAATATAAGACAAAATTACTTTATTAATCTGACGCTGCTGGGCTGACATCCTCTTCTTCTTTGACCGCTCCAGCTGACGCTCCCGTTTTGTGATGTACTCCTGGCTGACAGCACCGAAGGGGTCTCTACCTTCTTCAATGCCCTGATCCAATCCATACCACTCTCTATCCAACCTTTTTTGTTCCTCTTCCCAAAGAAGGCGATCTTTCTCTGAACCCCAAGGAACCTCTTCCTCTGCAATAAATTATATGATATTTAATAAATAATAGGTGCTAATATTTACTTATTTATTTTTTAAATACAATGATATGAGAAATGATTCAATTATATATGATTAAAGTATTATTTACAGATGTTGGTGCTTTCTAAAATATTGTAATTAAAATATATAATTTTAAATTTAAAATATTTTATTTTCATTACCTTTGCCAGCTAAAGGTGTAGCTCCAGTTCTTGATCTTTCTGGTGCCCAACTGTTGAATCTAATGAATGGAGTAATAATATTAAATAAATAAATTATATTGATATTTTTCAATTAATCAGCAGAATTAAAAAATATATTCAGATAATTCTATATATATGCAGTGAAAAAAATTACATCATTATATTGTCTTTATATTAATGAAATATTCTCAAACCAAGAGTTTCATCCTAAAAAAACAGGAGGGAGACAAAAAACAAGGAATGAGAATAGTAAAAGTTCAAACTGTTTGATAGTAGCATTGTGTAACTGAGATATAAGCCAATGTGATCCCTCCCCCTCTAGTAGGACATTGTTTTTACAAAAATTGTATTCTATTTTATTTATTGTAACTAAATATTTTTATCTGATTTTAGATTTGGAATAATCAAAAACAATGAGCAATAATTATTAAAGGTAATAGTTAAAAGTGTTTAAAAATATGTAATACGAGTTATTGTTTTTAGAATTTATATTATTGATAGTGATAGATTATGTTAAATTGCTGTATTATTTTCTTATCCTGATGATTGAGGAGATCTCTGAAACATCGATTTGAGAAGGTTTCATTAATAAAAAGGTATTATAATGGAAGTATTTTTTTCAATACATGGTCCATCCCGAACAAAAGTGTATCGATTAGAAATAATTATTTTTTTTATAGAAAGATGTAGTTCGATATGTTAATTTTCACTGGGAAAAATCATATTACACTTAATTAATAGTAAATCCATTTTGGAGCGCCAGGAGTCCCTTTTCTTCTAACTTAGTTGCCTGGTTCTAATGCTCCCCTGAAAAATTCTCTTGATTTGGTTAATATACTTTTGTTTGGTATGGACGACAAATATATATATAGATATTTGATAATAAATAAAATTATCTTGAAGAACCTTTTAAATAATAACTACCAGTATGGAAAATATTTACAAAAACAATAACTATAAAAATAAATATATAATAACATTTAAAAATTAGAAATTAAGAATTAACTCTATCCAGTAATATCATCGTGAAGTAGAGGTAGTCCCCTCTGCATTGGAGTGCAGAATGTGCAGTACAGGAGTCTTTCTCGGCATTGAAAAGGCGTTTGATAGAGTCTGGCATCCTAGACTGCTGTACAAACTCCGTAAATTCCTACCATTTACATACTTCTTCATTATCCGTTCAAAGCTTACTGATTGATACTTCAAAGTAAATCACAATAATGCATATTCATCCCTATTTTTCCAGTCTGTCGGTGTTCCTCAAAATAGCATCCTTGGTCCTATCCATTACACAGTTTATGCAGCTGATACCCCAACCCATCCTAACACGGTCATCACCATATATGCTGAATCACAAATCAGAAACCTTGAAGAATGGCGTCAAAATTGGAAAATAAAAATAAATTCCAATAAATGTCATCAAATTACCTTTACTCTCCATTGCATACCTACGACTACTTGTCATACAATATTCTTCAATGATATTTTACTTGTTCCTGTTCAACAAATTAGTTACCTAGGATTTCAACTGAACAAACGCCTTACTTGGAATCCGCATACAAGACTGAAACGACAAGAAACTGCTCGATGTTTCTGGCTGCTCCAACACTTACTAGACAAACACTAAAAACTTTCAATCAATTATAAAAGACTCATTTAGATGACTACAATAAGACCTATATTGACATTCAGAGATGAGCTTTAGGGCTCTACCAAAACATCAAATTCCTATGCTATCCAATCCTTTCTAAAATTCTTAATGTCCCATATTTTGTCACAAATTAAACCATTCATAAAGACCTTAATGTTCTATATGCCGCTGATTTAGCCCGAGCCAGATCCTTTCATGACAAACTCCAGTCCCATCCGAATCCACTTGTTCCCAGCCTTGCTTCTTCCTCATTCCTGATAATCCTCCTAGGTGTGGTGGTGAGCTCATGATCTCACTTAGAAATATTTAGTGAGTACTTTCATTGGGTATTATCTCCACAAGTCTGTTCATGTCATTACTCTTCATTTGCTCATATTTACTAGTTATAAATTTCAATAAATAAATGTTTTAAAAAATTAACTAGCTTAACGGAATTCAGACAAAAGTTAAATTGAATCGTATTTTAATGTTTTTATTGACAATAAGTTCTAAAACTGCTTCCTCAAGTCTTCTTTTTTTATTGCCTTCCTCTTTAAAAATAACATTTTCCAGCAGTTCCAATATTTTGTAAAAATATTGTATTCAATTCCTGCCGAATACCATTACATTAGTTTCAATAATAAAAAAATTATGGTATTTAAAACATACTTCATTTTTACATAGATTTTTTGTCTATAAATAATATTAAATAAAGCAAGGAAAGAAAAAACCTTATCTCATATCATAGGTTAAATTTAAGATTAATAAATCTTATTATTATCTAAAAATAATTGACTTAGGTTAGAGAAAAATAAATCTAAATAAGTTAATATTTCTATCAGACCGAAAAATAACTCCATGACAAAAAACATTTTGCTGCAAAGTTAGACCAAAATTTTGATGGATGCAATAAAAAAGCAAAAATAATTATTTTACAATCAGCTTTTGATTATTATTTATTATTACTTGAAATAAAAACCTGAAACGTTTAATACCTATGAGCAGGGGTAGGTCTTCTCATAGACCAGTCATCTTCTCTTGGTTCTGCCTTTGGTGTTGGATGTTCCCACGAAGACTTTGCAGAAGGTGTAGAAACTTCATCTTCTTCCCAACCAGTTCTACAAAAATAAATAAACAGAAAGTTACATATAACGAAAACTTTAACTCATGATCAAAAATTGAAACAAAAGTTATAAGAGGAATCTAAATTTAGAAACATTAAAAAAATAATAATAATGGGCAATAGAAATTATTTAACCTATCACCCAGCAAAAATATGGTGAAATTTGATAATCATACCTTGACGGAGTATCTTTAACAGAAAACATGGGCGTCAGAGGCTCATCTTTGAATCTTGGAGATTCGGACCAAGACCTTTGAGACCTGTTATAGTTACGTTCACTTCTATAATCATTCTTATCTTCATTTTGTCGATCCCTTCTCCTTTCACGATCTCTATCTCCTCGGTTACGTTCTTTTTCACGATCTCTATCTCTGTCTCTGTCCCTGTGTCTATCACGATGCCTATCTCTTTCCTTGTCTCTTTCTCGCCTGAAATCCTTTCTGTAAGAGTCTATTAAGACATTATAGGAATTAGAAATTTTGTTAAGGAAAAATACAATCAAATACATATGTGAATTATAAGACGTACCACTATCTTCATTACGTTCCTTTACGTCTGATGTAACATGGATTCCTCTTTTCTTTTCCTCTTTCCTTCGTCTTTCTTCCATTCTTTCTTTGGCCTCTCTTGTGACACCTCCTGTATGAGTAGGAGTCTCGTCATATTTTTCTCTATAATGCCTTAAAAGTAAAAATGAAAAGATGTATTTGTGAAAATTATGGTGACTAAGAATTTAATAATAAAAGAAGGGACTTGTTAAGTCTCCAGCACAGCAATAATACTATTAAGTCCATAGTAACAATATTAATAAATCTAACAATGTTTTTTTTTTCCTCAAATTAAGCTTCTTGTCAGTTCACAATAAATAGCATAAAGTTCTGACATTACCCCTCAACTCAAGGATCTATTTGATTCAACAAGCTAAACAATTTGGTCTCCTACCTTAAAAAAAACTGATTTATAGGATTACGCTTCTATACCAAAGTGGATGTTCTAAGAAACTGGTGAAGAAATCTAACTGTGCAAACTAACCTTTTCGGAGATAACTGTTACACAAGATTAACAAGAGAGATTTGATCGCTAAGATCTATATTAAGAAATGATAATTTCAGTAGTCATTATTAACATCAAAACCAAGAAATGAATAGTTGATTTTGATACAACCTTCATAAAATAATTTTATGAAGAGTAAAAAATATGATTTTTTCAATAAAATGTAATCTTGTGATTGACAGTGTATATTAAAGACGTGATTCATTATTATTCAAATTCATACTATTTACGGATATTTCTATGCATCCATCATAAATGATTAATAATAGGAGAAATTGGTTAGGGGTGTAATCGAACTAAGTGCCGACGTTACGACTTAAGATTTAAGTCTTCAACAGAGCTAACTAAGGACCAGATAATAACAACCAATAAGAAACAGAAAAAAAACATATTACAAGAAAATAAGAGGATACTAGTAACATCCTGATTTAATTAAGTAAATGGACAAAAAGAAACCGTTGGGGATTTATTTATCTCTTAAAAGGAGCACAAATCTGACAATCGAGATTTAATTAGAGCAGTAATGATTTTAATAATCCCAATTTATCCTTTCTTGAAATATGAGTAACAAATATTACCTAATATAACTAAGGCATTTTATGGTATATCTGCAAGTAGGCAGTAAAACTGTTCAAGGTAGAATTCTTTCAATTTCAAAACAGAACCATTCAACAGTCTATGTAAAGTGTCATCGATATGATCTTGGCATTTAAGCAATGCAGTACCACTTCAAAAGAATCGGTAGAATTCAAAAGAAGAAATTAACAAATACCTGTCTCCGTGTTTTTCTGGTTTCACAAAGTTAGCTTTATTTTCTTGCTCTTCTTTTAATTTCTTAGAGGCCTCCTTTTTTTCATCATTTTCCCTTTCTTTTCTGCGAAGAGCTGGAAATAATATAGAGAATTAAGAAAAAATAAAGCCTATAATAAATCATTACAATAAATTTTAATAATTCATAATTTACCACACCTGCAAGCCTATCTAAACCAAGCAAAGAAGTTTGTGGGACTTTGAATTGGAAACTTCCTTGAGGGTCAGGTTTCTTTTTGATAATAAGCCCCCCTTGTTTCTCTTCAACACCTTCAAGTCTATAAACACCCTCATCATCTTCAACTTCCATCACAAAGTCAAACTAAAACGTAATTGCAAGTTTTTTATCTAACATGTATGAAAAATATATTTCAGCTGATAACAGTATAAATAATGCAATGTTTTGAAAACATACAATATACGGAAGGTAATTAACTGTTATAACATATACAAGAGAAGAGAAATTACAAAGAAGTATTGGCCCTGAATAAAACTTTATGCTGTATTATCTGCTCATTTCTTATGCTGGGCCCACACTACAGGCAAACTCGGTTTGGCAAAAATTCTGGCAAACTTGCGGCAAATTAAGGAACTAATCGAAGCTCGTTAACCATGGATAATGTGCTCAGTAGGACGGAGACAGTTCAAACAAACAACATGGCCCTTCTAGAATTGCCGTGGGGTTGACTGCTACTTCTGGTTATGTCTTCTATAAAAAAAAAGCAAATAGAAGAAAATAAGTGGAGAAAACAAAGAAGATGGCAGATGTCGAAAATTCATGAGAATCATACAAGGTAAGCATAAAATTGATCTTAGTTTTCCTTATTAATATCAGTTGTTTATTTCTTTGCTATGACATTTCTCTATAAATACATTTTACCTTGTTTTTCACAATATATTTCTGTAAAGCTAATTAACGCGATTTTATGTAATTTTTCACACACAATTGCTAGGGTTGTCAATTTCCTTCCGTTAAACATAGTTAATTATTAATTCTCTAACCAGTGAAAATTCTTGATATATCCTCCGTTATTCAATTCATGCGCTATATGCATGTTTGATATAGGTTAACTTTCAAGAAATTTGATTAACTTTGAATTTTGACTTTACCTATACAAAAACACTGTATGGGCATGGAAATGAAACAAACCCTTTTATACACCAATTATACTTACAAGAAGCACACAATTTTCTGATTTTATAAAGAAAAAGATATTCAAAGTTCTTGATTACTTTAAGAAATAATGAATTTTCACTTAATTACTTTGCAATGAGCTGCCAATATTTTTTCAATTGTTTGATTCAAGGAATGCATTTAAAAATTCTTTTCTCCATTTACTTATGAGGTTCTTTGATTTATTGTATAGACATTTTTTACAATTTAGTGAATGGTTAATTCCTCTTTTACTAAATTTGCAAGTGTTACTTTATTATTTTTCAATTCAAACAATCAATTAAGTCTGTAGTAAGTTAATTTAGTTCTATTTTCTTTTCTAACGTCCAACTTAAGTACATCATCGCAAAGGAAACAATGGACAAGGGGTGTTAATTATTTAGCATTTAACTGGTTATTTATATTTAGTTAATTGGAAGTTCATTGTTAGTTTTCGATATCCCTCCTAGTCTATGATTAAGTTATTTTTTTTTTTTTTATACTTTTTCATATAGTAAAACAATGTACATAGGTTAATGACTATAAAGAGAAAATGCCCTATGATGCCTTAGCCATTCTGTCTTGTTTCCTTAACCCTCCACATTATCTGTTTACCCATAACAAATTATTTATTTTCTTCTGTTATGAATTTGATTCCATTGTTTCCTATTTCAATTAAAGATTAGTTTTGTTTTTTCCTCGACTTTCATCATTAATGTAAATGTTACATAGCTTTTATTTGTTCTCTGTAAAATTGAGTCTTAAAGTGTGCCAGACATAGACCCTCCTCTAAAAATGAAAATCTCAACTAAATGTGTTATAAGCATGGCAAAAAATAGAAGGGAAAAAATTATAACGAAATTAAAAAATCTGATTTCTTAGTTGGATGATACCCAGGCCTAAAATTGGTAATTTTTTTTTTCAGCGTTCCCCTACTGTTGAGTGTGAACATGAAGGACAGGCTGAAGTACTTGATGATTCATCTTTATTGAACAACGGTATGTATTGCAGCCTAAGACAAAAAAAAAAATCAAACAAAGGTGAAGAGAAAATTATGGCCCCGTTCAATAAACTCGTCCAAATAATAGAAAAACAGTGCGGAAATACAAATAAACCCAAAACAATTGCACAGAATTATGGGTCCATGTCAGGGTTGGACTAATTACCTCAACCAGAACAAAGTTTGTGCATATGTGAAATGGAACGAGGCTTGGGGAAGATGTGTGCGGACTTTGTGGAATGAACATATTTGTAATATTGAAACCAGCACAACTAGTTTAAACAAAATGGCAGCCTGTGCCCGTGGTATTGCGAATGCACCAAAAAGAGTGATTTCCCAGCAACATGCTGGGCCATTTAAAAAATATAAAACAGACACTTTTTCTGTAAATACTAGTAAGGTTGTACCTCCAAACAGAGATATATTAATAAAGCCTTTTTAAACTTGTTTGAAGAATATGGAGAATAATCCAGTAAATTATTAGAATAATCATTAGTTATTATTCAGCTTTTTCTGATGCATTTAAAAATGCTTTATTTGTAATGTTATATTCCTTTATTCATGATTTTGTATAAACAAAAACATATCTTGTATTCATTAATTTGTATGTTGTATTAATTCATTTATATTTTGTATTGTATATTTGGACCTAAAAATATTTATTTGTTCATTAATAGAATTTCTATTTTGTATAATAATAACAAAGTTAAGATATAAAGATTAATTTTCTAGCAACATTATAATTATTAAATTTAGTTTATGTATATGATTTATTATATTTTGTAAATATATGAGTTGTATGTATTATAAATAACATCTATCATTTCCTTTCAAACATATATATTGCAACTTATCTGTAAATAACCAATAAATGCTAGGTATATGTCAAATTTCTAAAATTAAAAATGCGAATAACAAAACAAAGGCAGTCTCACTATGTGGTTAAAATTTCCACACTTAGACTTAATTGTTATTTTAATCAGACAATGTTTTATACAAATATAACTTTTTTAGGCTTAGGATCGTTGATTATTTATTGAAGTAGGCATCAAAATTGGCACTGTATGATGTTAGTCTCTAACCATGATACAGTCATTTAATTACAAATATAGTATTGTATTATGGTGTTTCAATATGTGCTTAAAATGTTATTAATCCAACTTTATTAGAGTCTAGGTTAGTAATTTTGTGAGCTGTTCGGTTTTATTTGAACTGAAGATATAGAAAGAAAAAAAAAACAGATATAGATTAACACTAATGTCTGTGAAATGTAAAATTAGTTGACAGAACGATACAAATATGGGCACTAAAAAAGAAACTGATAAACTGATCATTTTAAAAAAATAATGATTACTTGTTTTCAACTCTCTAAAGTAGAATAAGCATAGGTTAAAAAATAAATAAATTTTGAACTCTTTTTTTATATTGACTAAATAATATGTGAAAATGGATATTATTTTATTTTAATGTAATGCGAAGTATTGGGATCATTAAAAATTTCAACTCTGAGTTTTCAAAAAAATAAAAAAACTTTTTGCTTAATGGTTTTTTTGTGTAAATGCAGAATCTGGCTAAAAAATGTAAAGTTCAGTGATTATACTTATTTATTAAGGTAGATAGGAGTATGGCAGCGATGTTAGGGAAAATTGTTGGCTGAAATAATATTACCAAAAGTGGAACTTGACATAATTGGTTTTATAAAGTATTTCAATTCAACTATAAAACGGAAATAAACAATGAAGAGTAGTATTAAATGAAGAAGAAACATAAAATGGAATAATTAGATATGAATAATAAAATGTAATTAGATGAATTAACAAAAACTTAGTTTATGATAATAAAAGGTAATGAATAAGTACGAAAGGTTATGATATATATACCTGACACTCAAAAAGATGATAAGTACAAATAGCAAATATATGGAAATATAATAAATCAAATAAATATATATAAGTAATGAAAAATGGGAAAAACAAGTAATGGATTAAAAGTTTTGTTATTTAAAATATATTATGTAAAAATGTTCAAAAATATATGTTATATTTCATTATATCTTATTTAATTTTATTTATATGAACCCTTCCGCTAACAAACTTCCATAATTCATTTAATGGCAAATAATATCTTCATTTTATTTTTGTAGTTTATAATGATTTGTTTGTTATTACTGAAAGACAGAAAGCTGGTTGCACAGAAAATTTTGATTAAACTCGTGTATTATTGTATAATTAAGTGGTCTTTAATATCATTGAGGTCTTATCCCCATTAATGTCACTTTACATAGCTTAAATGCCTAAATGTTCAACATTTCATCCTCTAAAGTACCTTTAATTTGATTAATTTTTAATAATTAACCATCTCTCATTATTAAGAATTACGAAAAAATGCTAAATATAACTTTTGAAAGAATTTGATAATTGAAAAATGGAGAAAAAAGGGAAAATGTGTATTGAGGATGAAAATGAATTACCGGAAATACTTGTCAGAAGTTATATCATTGGAAAGCGGATAATTTTAGAAAAAAACAATATGAAATATAGAAAGTAATGGAGAGAGATTATTATAAATAATAATTTGTGTAAACTAATATTATTGAACGGAAATCACATTTTTTCAAGGAAATTAAATAAATGAAATTTATTAACTAATTTTAAACTGTTTTTAAGTTTGAAAAACTATTTAAAATTCACCTAATCAACGCAATGTGATTGTTAAAAAAGCTATTTCATAGTACTAATGTGAAAGAAGTGAAATATAAAAATATTTCATGGATGTATAAAGCCTATGTTTATAACCTTAAATACATTTACTATAGTTTTAATAATTCTAAATCTGATATTATATTTAAATAATTAGGTATCAACGTCCGTTGGTCGTCGTATAACATTTAAAAAAAAATTAAATTAGTGAGTAATTTGATGAATTTTCCCTTTGTTAAATTAGTGAAAAAACTTATGAGCTATCTATGACAGGCGATGAAAATCTCGTAATCTCTTTGTAGTAAACTTTACAATGAAAAATAACAGTTTAATAACTAATAGGCTTAGAATCCATAATCATTTATAGGTTGAATATAGAGATATACTTTAAAATCTCTCTAGACATATGTATATTGTTCAGAGACCGGAGTTATGTGGTTTACGAAAAAATATGGGGTAGGGAGGTTTTTATTATCTACCGTTGATATAATTAATAGGGTTTCTGTTATTTTAGTGATGTTAATGATTTGTTAGCAGTAAACTTTAAGCTATAGACCCGTTAAAAGTGCACTTCAAAAATTTTATAATTGCTCAACATTTCCAGAAAGTAATTTCTATTCAAAGTAGAAGGTAAGTGAAAGTTGTGTGTTGTGCGCATTAATTTTTTTTTATTTCGGATATTGCAAAAAAAAAGCGGGAAATGGAAGTTTCTGTGTCAGCCAATCACAGTGGCTATTCAATGCATCACTAGCGTAGCGCAACGGCCATAATGCAAAACTTGCTTGGATTTTGCCTAAGTTTTCCATTCCGGATGGATATGCAACAAACCGGGGTAAACAGCCCATTACCTTCCACCAGCAGGTCAAAATATCTTCACCACCTCCTCCCACTCTCGCCCTTTCCTTTGTTCTCTACGACAGTGGCGCTAGCAAACTCGGGCAAACTGCCATCAAATTGAGGCAAATTGCGGGAATTTGCCTCGATTTGCCTGTAGTGTGGGCCCAGGGTTAGAATACAACAGTAAATTATAAAAAAATGAAGAGAAGAATAGTTGGGGTGGTCAGTCAAAAAGAAGGCAAAAATAAATGATAATATTTATTTTTACATATGCTAACGTATCGACCTGAAGTTCAGGCCTTCATCAGGGCTAAGAAAATAACCAGATAACAAGGTATGAGAAACATAAGTTGTGATGGTAAAAAAATAAAAGAAAAAAATAATATTTTAAAAAACGTAAAATGAAATTGTTAGTATAATGACAATAGTAAGAACTAAGAGATAAATAATAATAACCGTATAAAAAAATGATTTTTCAGCAATGGAGTAGTTAAATTTCAAAACTACTCTTGTCTATTTTACCAAATCTTTGGATCATAACAAACGTTTTGATGTAAAGATTTTAAAAATTTATTTCATTGACGATTTTCAACAAATTTTGAGATATTCTGAACAAATTTATAAAAAAAATAAAAAACAAACGAAACAGTATATTTCGAAAAAATGAACAAACGATGTTTTTAAACTCCATTAGCTCTTTAGTTGAGTTGTTCTTTTTAATAGATTTAATTATTTTAAAAGGAAATACGGTAGAGTCCTCTTTAAATGCTCCTAGATATATTAAAATTGTTTTTCTTCAAAAATTAATTTTTGATTTCCACTTTCTGTCCCATCATTTTTTATAAAGGGGCCATCCTCCTATTTCATTATAGTCCTCCTACTTCCTAGTATTTAATTTGTTTATTTTAAAATAGTTCACAAAATTAATGACTGTGCTACGACTTTATTTATGGCATTCCAAGCTTCGTACCTCCTATATTTCCTAAATACTGCCGCTTTCAATTTAAAATGGATTACCCTTTTGAAATATGATATTAAGGAATTTACGAGTTACCTTTTTCTTTTTTTAGTAACCATGATCTTAGGAAAAAATATTGATTGTCTAGGAGACTATTTTACTTTTTGGGTGTAAAATATGACAGATATTCTAAAATTTTAAAATAAATAAATAAAAGAAGGGTAAAAGAAAAATTTGCTCTAAACTGCTTTATAATTTTCTAAGGTATGACGTTTCGCATTGTCTTGTGGGTTGTACAGCCAACCTTTTTTATATTCCTAGCAAAATGATTAAACACGATTAAACTTTGAACGGGTCGTTATCTAGCTATTAAACTTTTTGTTTATACTTAGTCAGCCTTTAATCATCTGAAATGTCTCGGGGAAATAGGAAGAAAGAATTTCGTTCACGAAAAGCTAGAAGATATAATAAACAAGATGATCTGCCGAGTACAATGCAAGATTTAGCAATCAGAGATGAAGATGGTGAGTAGCTTGAGAGTTGTTACTTGTGAAAACTTAAAGATCAGATTATAAACTTAACGCTTTGAATTAAAATTCCAATAATTTTTCATTTTATAGATCTTAGGGAAACCATTTTTTAATGATAATTACCTGTCATCTTATTATATATTTATAATTTCAATAACACAAATGTATCTAATGATTTTTTTTATTTTTAGAAGAATGTTCCAAGTTTAAAGTTAATTTTCCAGTGGCTATGTGGGACTTGGGTCACTGTGATCCTAAAAAGTGCACTGGGCGTAAACTTGCTAGAAAAGGTATGATAAAAACGCTTAGACTTCAGCAAAGATTTAATGGCATTGTGCTTTCTCCAATGGGAATCAAGGTAATGTAAATTCTTGCAGTGATTTATTGTTATTCGTTCAGGAATAGATTTAGTAAACCCTTTAAGATTAACAAAGTACATTAAATTTAATGTTTATTTTTTTATTGTAGTGTATATCTCCAATGGATAAAGAAATCGTTGAGAGATTTGGAGCTGCTGTTGTTGATTGTTCTTGGGCCAAAATAGAAGAAACACCTTTTGAGCAAATGAAAACTTCAAATCCACGACTTTTGCCATTTTTGGTTGCTGCAAATCCAGTTAACTATGGAAAGCCAATTAAATTGTCTTGTGTGGAAGCACTAGCAGCACTGTTTTATATTACTGGCAAGTTATTTGATTGTGAGAGCTATTTTATGTAATAGCAAAGTCTTTTTGGTATTGTCTCAATCTTCATTTTACTTAATTTGACTTATAGTTACTCTCTATTTTAAAGTTATTTTGTAATGATTATCCAGGTTGTATTTAAAAGGCTTTTTGGAATCCGTGGCACTATTTCACAAGTGTCATTCTTACATGATGGCTGGGCTAAGTTCACATTGATCTCATGAAATTAAACTCCGAAAGTACCTGAGTGTGATGGAACACGTTATGGGTTGTTGATTTCTTTTAAACTATTAAATATTAAATTAGCAATCACAGTGATAAATGAGATTACACCTGTAAACGTAGTTATCAACAATAGGTTACTTTCTGCATTACATCTGCAGTGTGATTGATGTGGTCTTGACCCAACTTCAGTTGAAATGGCCCATATATTACATTATCCTATTTACTTGTTCAAAATGTTTTTTCCGAATTATCCTATTCTAGCGGAGTTACTTATATATCTGAAATGGTAATCTTTCATTTAATATTGACATTTACGTTGTTTACTGATTAGTTATGAAGTTCTATTATTATTGTATATGTTGATTGTGAAACTTGTATACACTTATTCATATTTTAAAATGCTTTATTGTAGGTTTTCAAGAAGAAGCTGAACATTATTTGTCCCAATTTTCATGGGGAGATAGTTTTATAAATGTGAATCAAGAAGCTTTGGACAGGTATGCTGCCTGTAAAGATGGAGAGGAGGTTGTGATGGCTCAAAATGCTTACCTGGCAGCGTGTGATGAAGAGAGGAATCGTAGGTTTTATTTATTTAAAATACATTTTTTAAAGGAAATATTATTGTTTACTGAATCATTGTTTCTATTGATTCTTGATAAAGAAGAAAGTTTGTTCATGAATTTGTAAATTCTATAGTTTTTCATTTTAAAATTTAAATAACATTGCAAAGAAAAATAAAAGTTCAGTTCTGAATTCAATAATAAATAATATTTGGTAGGTTATGGATAATCAGCTGTACTTAATATTAATATGATTAACTTTTTACTTTTTTGAGAAAGACAGCTCAGATTATTTGAACCATCTGGCCTTAAGCAGACCCTACACGGTAATTCATGAATGAACGTCACAAGAAGTGCCAAGATTGCCCGCGATCGCTTTGATCATGAAGACCCTTACACGTTCAGTCATTACTTATCGCTGCTGATGCCAATTTAGCTCAGTTGTAAACAAAGAAACAGCATAGATATGCTTATTTGGACATTGTCATTTATAATATTGGGCATCAAGAGAAAAACGGAGATATAATAATTACTTCCTAGTGCCTGAAAATCGTTTAGACCAAAGTTAGAAAAATATAAGTCAACTACATACAAAAATCTAGGAAAAGTATTGCGAAAATAATCAATTTGTTAAGAAAAATGGAAAAATTAATGGCAAATAAAAACAACAGTTAAAGATTTTTTTTCTATAAGTAAATTGTGAAGTTTCCACTTTTTTTTCTCTTCAATTTATTGCCTACTTGACTATTTAAAGAAAAATAGTTGAAAATGGTTAATAATAATATAGACTAGGGATATAAACAACTATTTACTTAATAACGAGACCTAGGTAAACTAACCTATCTAGTAGTAGTCTCATAGAAAATCGTTTTGACAAAAGTTAGTAAAATGTAAGTCTACTACTTACAAAAATGAAGGAAAGGTATTGTGAAAATAATAAATTTGTTGAGGAAAATGGGAAAAGAACTGATAAATATACACAACGTTAAAGTATTTTTTTTTTCCTAAAGTAAATTGTGAAGTTTCCTCATTTTTTTTTTTTTTTATTTTGTTGCCCACTTGACTATTTACAAGAAATATAATTAAGTATAATCAAATATAAACAAGGGATATGAAAAATTATTTAACTATTTACATATAATGAAAATCAGAAATTTATAATGGTTGTGAGGCCTAGGTAACCTAACCTATCCAGCAGTATGGATAGTCTCCCCACTACTTTTACCTCTGTCTCCCCTCCACTTCTTGTGAATGAACCTTTGATTTCCGGATGTTCGGAAATCCACAGCGCACCACCATCAGTACTTCATTCACTACCTTACACAGCAATTTGGAACGTCATTAGTACAATTCCGATTGACCGTGTAGGGTCCCCTTTAGGATTTTACTAATTTTCTACAAACTGTGATATTTCAGCTGGGCCTTTATGTATTAGATAATTGATACTCTACTTCATAGGAATATCAAGGCCCTTACTTGAGTCTCTGCAAATACTTCTATGACCATGTTAAACACTTTCCGGTCTCTAGAATTAGGATTGATGTGTTGACTATGGAAGACTCCACTAAAAAATTGATCAATTGCCTATAGGCAGTCCAATGAGTGGGATGCATGCCCTGTTCCAATTTATATTTGATTATACAGCTGAAATTGTTAAATATTGTGAGATATTCTGTTTTGATTAGGGAATGGAATTTAAGATCTCTGTGAAAATCATTACTTATAAAAAATAAAAGTACTTGAAGAGAGGGTCATTGAAGGGGATAAGATATTGTTTTTTGCTATTTTATAGAGACTCCGAAAGTTTACAGGCATGTGTCTGATAATAAATAAGTGATTTAGATGTATATGATAATAATATAATGCTCTGAAACTGTTAAGTCGATGCCGTGTGTCCATGGAAGGCTAAGTATTAGTGGACAGGTGAGAGATGTATCCTTCAGTCACATTTGCAAAAGAAAGTTTGAAATAACAGCAATCTAGTGGAATACGCCAATAACTCCCTCTTCATGTGATGCCTCTTCAAGAAGAAAAATATTTTCTCCAATTTGGCAACTTGTACTGAATACATACTGATTAAACCACACAATATGCTAAACTCTTCACTATCTTTTTGCTTATAGTCTGACAAGAATGTCAGAATAACTTATCCTATCAGAAGATATAAAAGTATAGATCTCAATCAGACAAGTAAGGTTGAAAGATTAGAGAAGCAAATATATAATTACGTTCCTTTTCTCAAGAACTTCTGCGAAAGTTTCAAAACTAGAAACTTAAAACCTGAGAGGTCACTGGCTTGTAGCTTGCTGTACTATCTGTACCAACTAGGATATCCATGGAGGATCATAGTGTCAATATTAAGGATGAAGCAGATTGGCTGAAAATATAATATTTGACTCCATACAGAATATTCACCGCCATATTTATGGAAACTGATCTAATAACATAGGATTGAAGAAACCATGTAATATTTATTATTTTTCTATTTTATGGAAGTAGCAACCCCAATATATTTAGACAGCTCTTTTAATGAAATAAATTGTTCTTCCCTCTTTAAAAGATTTAAATCTTAATAGAGGAAGGAGATGATCCGCCACAACGGACTTTCCTTTATAATGCAATGGTCAACTATTAAATATTCAATAAATCTTAATAGAGTTTATTAGACCGATGTATGTTGCTTAAGAATTTTAGTGATATCAGCATAAAAACTGGTAAAAATAATTATTTCCTAACACATTATTGAATCAAAATGCAAATGTATAATATAATTCCATATAAAACAAACTAGCAGTAATCATTATTATTGATTTTTAACAAATTTTTTTAATACTTATTAACTATTAATTTTTAGGAAGGAATTTAACTCCTGAAATTGAAAGTTCTTCTGAAAGTTCTGAAGATGATGAGCCCACATGATTGATTACTTCCGAATGGTTTTTGTAAAAGTACATGCTGTACATAAAGGACGAGTTATAATATTTAATTGTTAACAATTAATTTTGATTATATCCATGAGATATTTATATGGTGTATGATTTATTTTTATATCCTCAAATGTCTTTTTTAACAACTGGTTTTTCTATATTGTTTTTATTAATAAATCTATTCACCCTGATCATTTTTGTAATAGTAATATAAAATATAATTTCTTGTCACACTTATTTGCCTTTAGGTCAATTTAATAAGTAATCACAACTAGTCCTAGGTCACTATTTGTTCACGGACGTTTTAGGAAATCTTTGTTCCCTTCTTCAGCAAATCTTATAAAAAAGATCCAACTTTTCAGTTTGATCACAGCCATGGACCACACTTATTATTAATAACTGTGACTTACCCAATTTTTGGACCTAACAATCTGTATTCATCAAAACCTTAAAACATATGCTTAGAAATATTGTTAAGAAAATATATTAATAAAAAAAACGTCTGAAATGTTCTTGTTTTGTATTTTAAGATATCACATTTAAATAGTTTTTAAAGGAAAAAAGTATAATGTTCATATTAAGGTAAAAAGCAACTAAAAAAAAGTTAGTTCTATTTGTATTTTATTCAACAATATGATATATTTTTGATAAAGTAACAATTTTACTGGGATTATTCAGATGAAATTAAACATACATTTTTTTCTTTAATTATAAAGGCTTATAAAGTTTTTATACCATTTGTAGAATACTTTATAAGAATAATTAGTAGGTAAATTGTCTAAAAATTCATGATATCTTAAAGTATGGATTGCCAGGCTTTAAAACTCTTTTTCCTCAAAGCAGTCCAAAATATTGTTGACCTTTACATAAATGACTCCACTTTTATTTAGATTCCAAAAAAGCAAAACAAATTTTAATGCATTTTTTGTTGAATATTTGGTATCTGATACTATTATGATGGGTAGTTCAGGAACAAACTAGTTCATGATAAGGAACTGAGAAGAATGGTCTTACTTTTCCTGAACTATAGTTCTTTATGAGCTATAATTCCTGTAAACTACCAAGAAAATAAATTTATTAGAAGAATTGTAGGTATTTTCTTTAGGAAATGTAAAGTATCCACATACTCTAATCAAATTAGATATAATTGCAGTTTATTTATCTATAAAGCAGCAAAAGTTAAGTATTACATATTAATATAGATAATTTTTTTTTTTTTTTTGTATAGCCTGTTTTTACAAGTATTACACCTGTAGGCCTCCCCAATTAAGAGGGTAATGGTCTAACTTCCCGCGGGGACCAGCCGTATTGGGAAGTAAGGCCGGGATTCGATCCTATGATGTTTACTTTACTAGTATAGCGCACTAACCACTCTGCTATACCGGCCCCTAATATAGATAATAACACAGTAAAAATAATTGGGTGATAAATATTTAGGACACAGTCATTAAAAAGTTTTTATGCGCACAGTGCATCGACCAATAGACAAAAATCAAAAATTGTACTATTTTTAACAAGTCAATTACCATTTTAAATCTATTATTAAACCTTTGAATACAATCTTCTAGGATTATATCATTGTTTACATTATTTTTTAAGTCAATGCACTGGATGAAATGCAACTATTAACTTTTGCAATAAACACCTTATTAGTATCAATTTATGTTTCTTACTGGGAGCAATTAGCTTTTCTACAAAATCACAGCTCCAAGTATGAAATTTCTAGGCCCAGGTATGTATTTGAAAATACTATATTTTAATTCCGAAAATTAAATCATATTATTTTGTATACTTGCATTTAATTTGACTCAATCTTTTTAACATTAAAACTTTTTAAAAAAATCATTAAATATCAGTTTGTACTTTTTGCATATTCTTGTAGCATTGAGTGGATATGCACTATAATTTTCATTATCATTTATGTTCTTCTGGGTGCCCCTTCATTTGTATTATTTTTTTAATAGACCAAGCCATCATAACTCATCTCCAGATAGCAGAAATATGTTTTTAGCACAAAAAAAGTTGTGTCTATCATACATCCATGGTCACTGAAGAACCGAATTCATTGCTGAATGTGGAAGACCCCAGTGATGAATGTAAAAAAGTAATTGCAAAGATTAGTAGACTATTTTGTCTTAATTTTAATAATAAACTAAAATAAGCGCGAAGAGATCGCAAAAAATTTTATTTGGGAAACACTTCTTGGCTTCAGCAAGAGGTTCAGGGATTATCCTTACTTCCTAAAAGACCAAGAACTAATTTGGTTCAGCATGGCCCAAATACCTCACGTAGAAGCCGTCGGACTGAAGCCCCCCAAAATAGTAAAATATAACCATATTTCACAGGAAAAAAACATTAAAAACTATCTCTTAAAGTATTCTTGTTCGTGTAATTACATTTAATAGGACTTCAAGAACCACTTAAACACCATTTCATATAGGTAGTTAATTTCTTTTTTTTTTTTTCAAATTAATTATCGTTATATGTATATGAAAAAAAATCTTTGGGGCTGAAGCCCTCCCAAAATTCAACTTGGATCCGTTAGTGCAAGTAAATGATTTAATAAAGAATTAGTAATGTGGCCGAGCCAGAGGAATAACTCAATAGAAGCGATTCAATTAGTCGAGCCACTACTGGAATCCTTTTTCCCTTCCAATTATCTTTCCATTACTCAGTTAAAGATATAGCTCTTTGAATCAGTTTTAAAATCAGCTATTCCGGATATCTAATTACAGTTCAACTTCCTGCATGTCCAATATGAAGGTTCGTTAAAAAAAATTCGATATATAGAAACATTGTGATTTTTCTTGTCATACTAAAATCCACTTGTGGATCCACGGAGGTAAGTGTTCGAGGGTGAAGACCCCGCTCCCCAAAAAAATAAACTTAGTTTTTTTAATATATCCTTATTTTTTTATGTGAATGAACTATGCTAAATAAACAATCACAATATATAATAATGATAAGAAAAGACTTAGCGAACCCGAAGATTCGATGCCGACACCACCAAGCACGTTTCAAGAAAAATATATTAATAAAATATTGCTAAAAGCATTAGGTATTGTTCCTATTTAACTTTTTTTTTTTTTAATGTTGGCTTTCAAAACCACTTAAACATTATATATATCGACTTTATTTTTATTTAAAAGTAATTAAAATTATATTAAAAAACAAAAAACAACCTATCACCATAAAAAATTAACCAGGATGCGCTTATGCTAAAAAAATACCACATTTTTTTATGGTTAAAAAGTATTAATAGCAATTTTTTGGGTTCATTTATTCAGTAGCAGATTTAGGATTTAATTTGGAGAGGGGGGTTAATGACAACGATAAGGTAGATTAATCTGAAGTAGATTATGGCAGGTATGTTTACGGCTCCGCTCACAGGCGGATTTACGGGGGGCTTTCGGGCTGAAGCCCCCCCAAAATGGACAAATGTAATCATGTTTTATGGTAAAAAATGTTAAAAAATTATGTCTTAAAGTATTATTGCTCGTTTAATTACATTTAATAGGATTTAAAGAATCCTTTAAACACCATTTCATATAGTTAGTTATTATCTTTCTGTTTTTCTAAAGTAATTATCGTTATATATATGAAAAAAAAAACCTTCCGGGCTGAAGCCCCCCCAAAATTAAATCCTGGATCCGCTAGTGGCTCCGCTCCTAAGATTAGTCTTGCCAAGCTTGACTCAGTGCACCACACAGGAATACGAATGATTTTTTTTTTTTGTACAAGTATATTAGAATAATGACTTCCGAAGAAAGAAAGAAATTAACCACCTATATGAAATGGTCTTTAAGAGAATGTTGAAGTCCTATTATCTGCAATTAGACGAACAATAATACTTATAAAGATAATATTTTTCATGAAACATGGTTATATTTTACCATTTTTTTTTGGGGGAGGGGACTTCCAGAAGGTAAAGCTTTCTTAACTGCATCCGAACTGGAGCAACCCTTGTAAGAGGCCATACACCAAGATTGGCAGACACTATGAGACAACAGCCCTCCAAATATATTGTTTATATATATATATATATATATATATATATATATATATATATATATATATATATATATAATATATATATATATATATTGACTAACCCCAATTTCAACATTCTTTATTATTAATTTTAGTGATATTTCTAGTGGCAAAATTGATACCTTTATTCACAGTTCTATATTTCAACACTGCAATCACCTATTCTGGAATCAAATTACTCAGTATACATAAGTTTTTCAACTAGAAATATCACTAAAATGACATTACTTAAAAATGTTGAAATTGGAGTTAGTCATTCTGTCAACTGAAATGCTCAGAGACTGAAGTTGTGTGGTTTATAAAAGCAGATGAAGTAACTAGAGATTTGTTGCCTACCGTCGATATAATAAATATAATTTTTGTAATTATAATGGCCTTAATGATTTGTTATCTGTAAGCTTTAAGCTTTAGCTCCGTTCAAAATGCACTTCACAAATTTTATAATAGCCCAGCATTGCCAGAAAATAATTTCTATTCATAGTAGTAGAGCAGTAAGTAAAAGTTGTGTGTTGCGAGCACCAGATTTTTTTTTAGATTAATTAAATTTTATGCAAACTTAAAGTCCGTGGTTCTCTTTTTATCAAATTATTAACATCTGCCTGTAACTTTGTGAATAGTGAATAGCTTGATCTCATCATAACCTACAACTATTTTATTTACGGAAACTCTTGGGATTGGGAATATTTCAAACTGGAGGTCAGCAAACTTTGTCTATTTAATTAGCTACTAAAAATTCGTATATACACATTTGCTTTCCAGTTGGATCGTATGTCGGGTGTATTCAAGCGGAAAGCAAATGAGTATTTAAGAGATCTCAGTACCTAATTAAATTAACGAAGTTTGACGATCTCCAGATTGAAAACGCCCCAATTCCAACAATTTTCGTAAATAAAATATTTGGAGGTTGCGATGAGATGAAGCTATTTACGAAATTTGAATAATTTGATAAAAGGGCTATGTACCACGGATTATTAAATTGTAGCTGAAGGCAAATTTTCGCAAAATTTTAATAAAATATATCTTTCACCATTCCCTATATTTCTAATATAAGCTCAGCAAATTGTGAATATTGATGATAAATTGCATTGTAGCATGGTGTTACTTTAATTGTAAAATTCTTATATGTATTCGTACTTATAGTGCATTTTTAACATTAGTGAATAAACATCAATGATTTTTTCTTGTTTTTATAGCAAGTATGCCCCAGCTCGAAATCTAATGTCTATATGTAAGATCTTTTAGTATCCTTTAAATAGCCGTTTTAAATTAACAAGAATAAGTAAGTAGGAAAATGGATGAGAGATCAATTCTATATTTAATTGCATAAGTTTTTGAAGTTTAGAACATTCTAAAGTAATACTCCCTACTAAATATATTTGTAAACCTTCCCTTACTGTCTTCGAGGATGATTCTTGTGTTGTAGATTGAAGTTATTTCGGAGCGGATTCAT